TTGGTGCCAATCGCTGTCCCATTGCCAACCCCCTTATTTGTGCGAAATATTTCCCAAACCATCTGAAAATCGAGCAGTTTAGGCATTCCTTTAAGAGAGCCATTAGCTGCTGGATGGACAAGCCGTGCATATTTATTCTTCCTTCATGTTCAACAAGAAGTTCGAAGATGGCTTGCATTGCGGAGTCATTCGATACGTTGGTGTACAGTTCGGCAACGTCGAAAGACTCCATCACGTACGCGTTATTAGGAGACGCGTTACGTAGACGTTCCAGGAACATTTGGGTGTTTGTAAGGTGGTGGACCAACTTATGTGTTTTAACAAGTAGGTATAGGACGGGACATATTGGTCTATCGATTTTAAAGCGCGAAATAACCGATGATTTTAAACCCACAGCCTTTGCCACACCGGCCCATTGACTGTTTAGCTTTCGGTATCGCCTTTTATATTCCTTTTCAGAGGATGGGCGATAGAGAGTAGCATCACTAAGATGTTCCTCTGTTATCTCAACATCCAGCTGGTGAGGGATAACTACGAACTTTCCACCCTTATCACTAACAGACAATCCTATTCTTTTCGTGTTTATTAATTCTCTAATTTCCCGCATGCCACATTTCTGTGCGGTTGTAAGGTTAGAGATAAACTTGCTATCGCGGTAGTGATTAAGAGTCTTGAGAATGCCGTCCGAAAACATGCGGAATTTTATGTCAACACCATCTTTAGGGTTCTGCTGTCTAAAAGAAAGGAGGTGGTGGTAGTATCGCTCCCTCTTGATTTTTATCTCTATTTGATGCTTCTTGTTTGGCCTGATAGCGGAGCGCATAAAGGTCGCATGCTATCCTACGCAGGGTCGTTTTAGAAATGGGCTGTGATGGTGCAAAACTTGTGTCCAATTCTAATAGCGAGCGCGCATTCTCAGGTATTGTTATGCCCTCAATCACGGTGACCCTAGATTTTTTAGTGCATTATCAACCCTATTTTGACTGTTATCAGAAGCTTAAAGAATATTCCTTCATTAGCGATGAAATAAGTGTAGCTACTCTACGTCGTCAGTTAGTTCGTAACCGTCTGTATGACCTTCTATGTGAAACAACAAATTGCGTAATTTGCCCTCACGGCATGAGTTCAGGTACGATATACCTGATCTTTTGTAGTAATTGTGGAGATGAATATATTGGCGAAACGGGCAGACCTTTGTGAATCCGTATAAAAAAACACCTAGTTGGCAAACGAAAACTAAGACAAAGTACCCCACTAGGCACGCATAGGATGCAAAAGCATAGCGGAGACGATTTTGAAGTAAAAGTCAATATCCTTGCACAGGAGACTAAAACACCAGCGTGAAAACTTCTTGAGGCTTTTTGGATAAATGCCAAAAGCCCCACAATGAATAGCAGGGATGAATGCCCAGAGGTCATACGCGGCCTGATCCCGTTTGTTCGCATTAATTTCTTATGTGGTATAGTGCAGTCATCAACCATATGCGACTATAATCAGCTGTTCTAATCTTCCTCATTGGAAGTCACGTAAAAAGCGGTGTTTTTCGAGAAGCTGTTGATCGTGTGATTACCATAAAGTTTTCCGTCTTCTGTGTTATTGAAGCGTTTGGCCTAGTAGATTGTATACCAATATACCCTTCCAGGCTCTCAAGAAGGCGGTTCTGCCGAAACGTTAGCTACTGCTGTACTGTATTGTGCTTTTCTATGAAAGTAAATGTATGCTGCTTAACAACCTCGCGATTGCTGAACAAGAAAACGTCGCATTATCTTGGGTAACGTGTTCTGAAAAAACAACACTTTTAGGTAGCTCTTTTACTCACTGCCTACTACAATTTTCATGGCAGAGCATTATGCGAAATACTTTCAGTCTCAGTACTGCAGGAATCATTTCGTTTCTTGCAAATACAATGTTTCAGATTTTAACGGTTTTCATTTCAATAGGTTACGTATGCATTTAAATCTGTGGAAATCAATGCGAATGTGGAGAATATTTTTTCTGATACTTCTTGACTGTATTGGAAAGTTCCACTAAGTATTATTCAGGAATCACTGATGGAGTAATCTCTATCAGAAGCAGAAAAACAAGAGAAAATATTGTAAATACGATGCTTGAAAGAAGGCACTTCACACTGCTTCTGAGATCAACATGCAAAGGCTTGGAGACACTCCTCCTCCAATTTCATCAAGTGATTATGGGCGAGCACTCTTCGACGCGTGCTAGACCGTTTATAAACTGTGCATTTGCACTTGCGGATTAGGTTTAGTGGACAAGACCTTTCTCCTTTAGTATACTGCTTACACGGCCATCTACTGTTGTTTATCCGGTTCCCACTTCTTAAAATGAATGACAAAATCAAATGTCACCACTTTCAAGTGGTTATGGAAACCCTTCAGAACAACGGAGCCTTTTGGCCTCCCAGTTGGTTCACATTTCTTCTCCGACCCAATTCCTATTAGGAATTTAAGACTCAAACTCCGCTAAACCGGAAAGACGAATGGCTCACTATACAACGTGGTCTGGTTGCTTACTTCAAAATGATTTTTTGACATGGCTGGGTCTCGCTCGCGACCCCACGTGAACGACGCGCGGGACACTCCCACTGGTAACAGCACGGTGAGTAGCCTTTTTGATCAATATGGCGTTTATTTGAAAGTTTGGTCTTCATTAACACTATAGATATTTTACCCAATATAAGACTCTTGTTTCTTAAAATACGTCCAGACTCTGAGAAAGGCGAAATCGCCGAAACGTCAGCCATCGACCAACAACACCAACAACAATGACAATTTAAACCAACCTCGCTTCAGCTCAACAAGATCAGTTTATAAGATTATGTAAACAAATATATCAACTATTTGTGTCGAAATTCATAGAAGTTCGGTCTTTTGAATTATATGGGAAGAGTTCCAAGTTTAGAAGTGTTACGCTGTATAGATTTGAAAGAAGTTAGACGTCTAAGTTGCAAGATGAATCATTTTGGGTACAACGTTATCAACACCAATGTAATACAAGAAGCTCGGAGATTGGGTAGCGCAGTCGTTAGTGATGCGGTCCACCAGACAAGGCTCTAGTGCGACTCTCTCCCTACACTCCACCCAATAGACGTGAGAACGCCTTAGCCTGGCCACCTCCATGAATGTATGGCGAATAAACTCGACAAGCATTCCACTACATTCATTAGTGAATGAGAGGAAAACGAATGGAACGCAAGGAGTGCTGGGATCCTCGCGGTAAGTGTGATGACAAGTCATGCAATAATAATAATAATGATAACAATAATGGTAATAATAAAACAATGGCTACAACTTGCACATAAAGACTGATATTTACCTGTAGGGTATGTTAACTCTACGTATGTACGCACACATGGTAAACTATCTATTGCAAACTAAATGTCTCCGAGAATAATACTCAACAAATCTATTATATCTTAAGTTACTGATTATTGCTACCAGGCTTCATGGAAGTCGGTTTATGACATAATTATTGCCAAGGTACGTGCCAGTAAGTGAAGTGCCGACTGCTAGAGAGCGCATCGCCCGCCCAAAGAATGAGATATTGGAGGTTGCAGTCGATCAACACTCGTCTTTTATAGAAGAGCACCACTGAGTTAAGTTAACCTTTCGGACTGTGCTTCCTCCATTGGATTCTACTCGATACAATAGCGAACATCCACATCGCGAAAACGACCAGCTGTCGACCATCGACTCTGATCAACACGGATCTGAGGAAAGCGAATGCGTCCAAACGTCAGCCGAATAAGTTTCTATACCAACCTTGTGTTATTTCAATCATGTAGAAAATTACATTCTTTATAGTTGAAGTGGCAAGACTAGGTACCTGCTTAAAAAGGCATACTGTGTTGACGTACATTGATGTAAGCAATACTCTGTGAGCACCGAATCACTTTAAAGATGTCACCTCAATGTTTTGTAATCATATCGCAGTGAAAAGCCTTCTCCAAGAGCCGAATATCAATGTTAAAGTACAGCAGAAATATCTTTGCTCCTTCATCAAGTAGAATAGTCTTTGTAGTGCAGGCACCTTTTAAAAGTAACACTCCCTCGCTTACGAAATGAACTGCTCCAAAAAGCGGCTTTTTCGTATAATAGCAGGTGAGAATTTATTAGGGGGACACATCCCATGCACGATGGCTGCTAGAACATTTGTGTCGGATGTTGCTTACAATTTACAAGAAGTGTGGGAAAACAGTCCTGCGCGCCAAAATAAGCCACTGAAAACAAAGTGACCTCTAAAGAGGCAGTACTGACCACCGTGTCCTCTAAGAAAGAACTTTTATAGAGGACACGCCATCACGTAAGTCTTAACGGGCTAAAAGATGTGATTAAACAAGGAACGGCTGATGAACCATTAATATTAAAGATCTCCTTCAGTGATTATACTCATTATGGTCATGGATTGCTTCTGGATGCAGAACTGCAATGTCCTGAAGGGCGCTAATTGTTATCCCACTTAAGCGGAGAATTCGAAAAAGAAACTCGTCTAAGTCGCCTAACCAGCAAGGTAGCATAAATGGGAAATAAAGCTGCTATGATTCGTGAAGACGGAAAATACAAAAACCTAGGCAGTTAAGCAATACGGATGAAATCAGTACCCCATCAACGTTTAGGAAACATTTATTCCTTCAATAATATGAATCGCTCAGAATTTATGTTAAAAATTTGTCGCATTCCGTGTGTGAGAAAGCTGAGTTGCTTGTCGAATAAAGTAGCAGTGATAAAATAAGATTCTTAAACAAACCCTCAGTTTTCGCTTAGCGTTATACCGCAACATTTGCCGGTTATCCATAACTGGTCCATCAGCCGGTTGTTCCAGATTTGCGTCACAACTGACCTTGGCTCTGTGTATCGAAATCCACGGATGCGCCAAGCACTCTTTCGGTAGCATTCGTTTTCTTAAAGTCAATAATAATGATTTAAAAAGAAGTTTAAGAGCAAAGGTTTTCTCTTTTCCTTCAGGAAGACCAGTTTGTGTAGTTGAGTTTCAATGATAAATTGGTTCCATTAATGTTAATATTCCTCCCAACGGTCTACCGCCTCATCGTGGCTTGGAGGTGTTGCTGGGTGTCGGACTGCAATGTGCAGAGGGAGATTTATCCTCTGCCAGGGTCTCCCAAGCTGAGAAGGAGTCCTGCCTTTCGATCAGAAAGTCTAGCTAAGAGTGAACCAATACCAAGAACGACCACCGTCCTGGTACCAAAGTCGCATGGTGCCAAATCTCCCTCTGACTCACAATGCTGCGACTGCTTGTGGTGGTGAAGACCTGGGGTAGACTTTAGCCAGGCTAACCTCGGGATTCCAGTGAACCACAATGGCTTAACCAGCATAATCTCCAAAAAAATGGAGATTATGCTGGTGGGGCCCCCACAATGAGTGAGGACGACCATTCAAGTATCAAATTTCAAGTAATGTTAATATTGATGTCTCGACAGACTACAAATCCTACGACAAATAACGCCGTTTCATTATGCTTACTCAAATGTTTCCTCACTAGTGAGTTGTTTTAGCGTTCAAATCAGAATAAATTCTCTTAAGGAGAGATTAGGGTTGACCTAGTTTTCACGCATATCAAAAATGATTACACTTCCTATATTACATATCATTAATCAGATGTTGTTGACAAAAGTGATATGAATAATGCTCAACGCACTCTTTATTGTAGACGATTAGTCGTGAGATGAAATCTTTGCCTTCGTTGCTGACTGAATCAAACTCCTCAGTGAATTCCCACACACCTCTTTCCACATTACAGTAGGTTTCAGCTATGTTTTCTCCAAGAAATGGAGAATATCCAGATAATCTGAAATGTTTTAAGGATCATTTGTGCTTTAAAAATTTGACATGACTTTTGGTCCTTTTCTTGGTTTTATTGTAGAAAAATGCTATTGAAAGTATTCTTTCTTGATAAGCTTGCACGAGGTTGATAAATATATTTATTTTCGGCTAACGTTTCAACGTCTTCGTCTTCCTCAGAGCCGCTATTGAAAGTGTACGAACATTCCGTTACCAAACATATACAATCTTCGTAATATGCGGAGGTAGCACGTTAGGAAAAATTCGCAAAACTTAGAACAAATTATTTTCCAACAACTACGACAATTCTGGCGTCCATTGCCAGTTTTCCCATCCAATTTTTTTTATGTCAATTGATACTGTCGTCGATTTCATCCAAGCATTTCCTCTACTTTAGAGGTTAAAGTTTTCTTCGTTTATTTATTGATTGACTTGATTAGGTAAAGGGATAAAAGTTAAAAGTAACTGTGATGAAAATCATATAGCACAGTTGAAGGAAGGGATCGACATGTTGCTGTAATTATAGTTCGTTGTAACGCATCTAGAAGTGGAAATCGGAAAGAATCAGCTGAGACGCACCTGGGTATTTTTAAATGTCAGCGGCACGTCATTTACGCTCAGTTACTTCAGAATGAATTTTGGAGGCATAATAGATGCTACAATAGGAATAATAGTTATACTAGGTCAGTACATATGAAGTGTCCGATTTTACTGTTTTAATTTTCGGTGTAAAATTTTAAATTAAATTTAAACACAATTTCAACTTATTATTCACTGCCTATTCTTTTTAATGGCAGAGTATATATTGATACTTACTTGTTACTTGAATGGCCCGTCATCACTAGTGCGAGTCCCAGCACAATCACCATTTTTCGGATTTTTGCTGGTTAAGCCATTGCGGTTCGCTGGAGTCCCGAGGTCAGCCTGGCTAAGGTCTATCCCTGGTCTTCACCACCACAAGCAGTCGCAGCCCCTGTGAATCAGAGGGACATTTGCCACCATGAGACTTTGATACCAGGACGGTGGTGGATCCTGGTATTGGTTTACTCTTAGCTCAAAACTTCGGACCTGACGGCAGAGATCGATAGAGCCAGCTGAGAGACAGGCGGAACGAAAGACACGCATGTTGTGGTGGTGAACGCGTTACTCCTCGGAAAGGACAGCAGCGCGTTCGTTCCTCACCGTAGACACCTGCTGTCCGGAGTTTTGCAAATGTCTTAGCATCAATGAAATTAAATTTAAACAGTCAAATTTCTTCAAATTGAAAATGTTTATTTTCATGTATGCTTAATAAATTCTTAAAGCACAAAGTCTGCTCTTTTTATACCTATTTCCCACAAGATTTATTATTTTAACATTTTTATAAGCTTTAAAGAGCGCGTATGGCGCAGTGGTCGGAAACACCATGCAGCACACACGTGGAATCGAACCTCGCTCCCAAGACCCATCAAGCCTTCCATTCCTCCGGGGTCGACAAATTGGTATGAGACCTGTCTGAGAGACTAGCAGCGCTGGTTCGATACATCGTTAGGCCACCGCGAGACATTGCAAAAGCCAGATGTGCATCCAATCACCTCCAAACGATGCTTGGTGAAGTGGAATACATGGCGCATTCCTCAGGGAATGATCAACGCCGAGTGCTTTATCTTCTATGTTTTACAGGTTTTAAGTTTAATATGAACCAACGTGATATTCGTGTCCTTTTTTGCACGAATGGAAGAGTGAGCATAATTCAGCTGCAAGAGCTAGGAATGTCATAACGTTTGGGGTAAAGGTAACGTTGGTGCATCAACAATGCGAACATGGTTGCGAAAATTCCGATCTAGTGATTTCGACCTCGAAGTTAAGGAAGGCAGCGGATGTCCCAGTGAGCTTGACGACGAAGAATTAAAGCCACTAGTGGAAGTAAACACGCGAACAACTATTCGAGAGCTTGCACAACAGCTAGGCATAAGCACAGGAACGATATCCACTCAATTGAGCCCTATATGAAAGAAAAAAAATTCGACAGGTGCGTGCCGTACGAATTAAGCGATAGTAAAAAAAAAGTCGAGGTTCTAAAGTGTCGTCTGCTCTTATTCTGCGAAATAGCAACAACCATTTTCTTGATCGAATTGTGGCGTGCAACGAGAAGAGGATTCTGTGCGACAACTGGCGGCGTTCAGCTCAGCTCAGTGGTTGGATTGCGACCAGGCTCTACAGCACTTTCCAAGGTCGAAATAGCAACAAAAAAGGTTATCGTGACTGTTTGATGGTCTATAGCTGGGCTGATTCATCACAGTTCTTTGAATCCGGGCGAAACGATTACGGCAGAGAAGTATTGCCAACAAATCGACGAAATGCACCGTAAACTCCAACAACAGCGATGGGCATTAGTCAACAGAAAAAGATCAATTCGTCTCCACAATGATGCCCAGCCTCACATTGCAGAACCAGCGCTGCAGAAGTTGAACGAGTTGGGCTACGAAACTTTGCTGATCTCACCTGCGAGATTATGCTTCACCAACCACGATAACGTAAAAATGCCTTCAACAAATTCATCGCTTCCAGAACTCCAGAACTTTATGTAACTCAAATGACCACTTTTTTTGCTGTTGGAAAAAATGTGCTGATTCTAATGGTGCTTATTTCGAATAATAAAGGCTAGTATGAAAAAAAGCTAGGATTATTTAACATTTAATTTAAAATCGAACATTTCATTTGTTACAACCTAATAGATGACGACGATGTCATAACGACGTTTCGCGATTACTCACAAACTAAGAATGCTGGGAAGACGCACAGTGGTTGCTTCGTCAGCTTGTCAGCTTAAAAGAACAATAATGAGTCACTAGTCTGTATTTTTTAATTATGTGGTTTCTTTTCGAACAAATCAATCCTAGCAGTAGCTGATCTTCCAAACCATAAGAAAAAGGCGTGGTAAACGGTGACATGGTTATCAGACATATTTAATTCGGCGCCTTCGTGTTCCTCAGAGCGTGGAGGTACCATGCATAACAGTAGCCCCAAACTTCTATAGACTCCATAGTGTTAGTCAAGAACCAGGAAATGAACAGACTTCAATTTTCAAAACTGTACACCGTACTGTGTTGGACCACCCGTTTGCAATTCCGGAGTTTTCGTACCAGAGTTGTCCGGGAAAAAAATCGCTCTCTGCAATCGAATTGGGAACCCTCCAGCACGGCTATCTCAGGACTCCAAGAAAAACCGACTCGACCAGCATTCTACGACATTTAGGATAAAATGAAAAGTTGGAGGATCTTCGTGAATAATGGATGCTAAGAAACGAATAGAATATGAGAAGTGCTAGAAGCTGTACAGTAGACGTGAAAGCGGATCGTACAAAATAAAATAAAAAAGTAACAGTTGAAGATTTTCAAGAAAAAAGCTAACTACTTTAAACCGTGAGACTGTTGTAAGAGTTGATCGTAATGACCCACAAAATGTAAGTAATAACGCCAACGCTCCACATATCTGTATGAAAGTCAAGCTGTTCGTATTTTATGACTTCTGGTGCAGCAAATTCGGGTGTTCCAGCCATATAGCGAAGTTCCTATAACAGTACCATAAATGCTTGAATTGGTTCTGTCAATTTTTTTGCTTTTCCACTTTTTTGCCCTCACTTTTTCTTTTTTTTTTCCTTGTTAGTTGCTTTTCTAAGGAAAACCAGGGTCATAAGAGATGAGGACATTACCTCAACATGAACAGAATAGCGATTGCAAGCCCTTTCTTGGCAATTGGACTAAGCTAACCCTTTTTGTTGGCTTCACTCTTATCACACTAAAAGAATGAATCCTTAAAAACAAGCTGAGTTGAGCGATTTTCAATTCCTTTAAGGAATTCCTTTGTTTTTTAATTTGATGCTTAATACTTTTTATAGAGCCAGCTGCTTGAACTGTCACTCACTAAGCGCTTGAATCGATCCCTCAATAATTTACAGCTAAGCTAATAAACAAAATAAACGCAGCAAGTTTTTTAAAAAGCTGCGATACGTTTATCGTTGGTGCTAGCAACAGTTATTCAATCAATAATCACTAACTTGAGTTCCGTCATAATGTCGTGCCAGACCGAAATCGATTAACTTTATTCGATTTCCCCTTTGTGAGACGCACATAATGTTTTCAGGCTAGAAGTAAGAGGATTTTTTGTTCACATCTACTGGTATTCTCATTTCAAGAATATTAGTAGGTTTAATTCCTTAAGAGAAACCTTGATGTCCAAATGTAAGATGTTTTGTTCATGTATGTAGTCTATAGCTTCGCAAAGTTGACAAATAATCATTACAACAGCCAACTCCGTGAGCACGTAATTCTCGTCCGCAACCCGATCGAACAGCTCTCCACCTCGAACACTGAAATTAATCGGCGTTCATCATCCAATGCAGAGGATTTGTGCTGCTGAGAAGGATGATCTACGAAATCGTTCTCGGTTATTTCCTGTTAATTACAAATAGTGGGAACGTCTGACATCGGCTGCATTTATGACCAAATTTCTTTAGCAAACAACCGAGCTTAGTTTTTCTTCTCCTACAGAAGCTCTTTTTGTTTTTGTTTAACTGTTCTTAGTATGTTAGGAGTTAAGGCGCTCTTTTTCTCCTGTTTTTGATACTGCAAGCCATTCTATGATGGATGTTTTTAACGTTGGGCATTGCTTTCGGGATTCACAATTTACATGATTCAGAAGCAATTCGCCGAACGACGTCAACACCTGCAGGACTAATTACGGTCATTGACATGAATAGAAGGCTAAACATAGATGCATTCACCTCTGAGATATCATTTTTAATGATACAACTCTGTTGGTTCAAAATGGAACGAGAGGAAACCTTAGAATGCTTTCTAAGGCTTCAATGAATTCAAATTAATATGGGTTCATATGTAGAGAATTAGAACTCGCTTGAGCAAAAAATAAAGCATATGTTCAAAATATAACAGTATAAAAGCTGGCCAATAAACTACTTGCCAAATTATATATTAGATCTTATAAATACTTGGTACCAGATTCAAATCTACTGAAGCAAGAGTTCGGAAACATTTTTTGTAACTTTGAAATTTAAAGAATCGTTAACAAATGAAACACTGCAAGCACTGGATGACATTGTATAATGGTTAAAGATATCACAGCTGTGTAGATTTCTTAGATTACTGTAAATATTTCCTACATTTCCATAACTAGTACAACTTCGTTGTTTGATGTGTAGAAAGCATCATAGATCTGAGCTATACGAGGATGGCGAAGTTGAGTGAGTATGGCGACTTCGCGCTCGACCTCTTGACGATCTGCTTGCTGAAACTCACCAGTAGATGGAAAAGTTTAGATTTTATGCGTTTAGAATTTCCTGAAGAATTGATAGTCGTCTTTTCAAAAAACCAATCAATATTTTTTATTCCCACACATTTATTCTGCTATAAACCGTTCGTTCTTGCGTTTTTTCCTGAATACCGATAGTAGAGAGATCATACCTTTTTGATTCTAATGACTTTTGCCGCAAATTCTTGACCACTTTCCTTTTCTCGAACTTGGTAAACTTTGCCAAACTTGCCACTAAATTATAAATTATACTTTTATTGTGCTTATATATCTATTTGAGGATATTTATTATCTAATGGATTAAATCCTCCCAACTGTTTCCTGCCACATTCTGGCTGGGAGGTGTTTCTATGTGTCGGACTGCTATTTACATCGGAGGGATTCATGTCCCCAGCAAGCCTTCGCAAGCTGAGAAGGAGTCCGGCGTTTCCATCAGGAAGCCTACCTAAGAGTAAACTAACGATAGGATCCGCCACCGTCCTGGTAACAAACTAGTGGCATGGTAGCAAATCTCCCTCTAATCCAGAAGGTCGGAGACTACCTGTGATGATGATGATCTTGGGAAGACTTTGGTCAGGCCGATGTCAGGACTCCAAGGAACCACAATGGCTAAACCAGCAAAACTCCGACAAATGGAGATTATGATGCGGTCCGCACAACCAGTGAGTACGGGCCGTCCAAGTAAGTAAGAAAGTAACGGACTATATAGTGGAAATACAAGAAAAGAAGTAGTTGAGGAAACAGACCTTTATCTTCACATTATCATAATCAGATTATTATAATCACAAATTTGATAAATCCTAGCTCACGGATGGATGCATCTATATGTATAAGCACTGGAACTTGCGGAAAAATTTAATATTATTCAACTTACTCGCCGATAAGCTGGCTACATTCATAGCATTGATCGAATTTTACATTCGAACGAATTTTATCAATTTTCTTCGCGTCAAACAGTGGTGGCTCGTCAACATCTGCAGATATTCAAAAAATTTCAGGGGTTGTTGAGAAGAAATGGAAAAAGAAAAATCGAGCACCTATAGGATAGTGTTCATCGACTTTGATCTTACCCTCCGTTGCCATACAATCCTGAAATGCAGATGTCAAATGACTGAAATGACCAACATTGAATTCTTTTAAAGAAAAGCCGAACAACGCGAAGAAGCAATACATCTGCCGTTTCAACGAGACAGGATAAGAAAACCTGTCTAGTTCCGATGAGCAGTTACTAGTCGCTAAGTTCGAGCCTTCAATTTTGTTTCGAAACCTTTTTCAGTTGACACACTGCTAACGTACTATGATAAATCAACGTTAGCCAGCTAGGCCCCAAAAAGTGCAACTAGATACTGGCCCTTTTAAATAATGGGTGAACCAATTCTTTCGAGACAACGAGTTTAAAAATGGAGCTCTGAGAACAATTGTTGCACTGCTGTTGCAAGAACGCTGATTTATGTATGCACAGAAAAGTCTGAGATGTTGTGAAAGCAAGAAGTCAGATACGTCAAAAATGTGAAGGCATTCCGTTAGTGAACGAATTCTTGTGAGACGTTAATATTGTAAAAGCAGCTCACAGAGGTGTTCAAAACAGACAACATCGCTTCGTTACCGCAATGATGAGAATAAGTAGTCTACCGAAATTTAGTGTAAAACAAAGTAAGATCGATGGTAAACGTAAATGATATTATATGTAAACAGCCGCATTTTTGCATTACTAACACATTGAAGATAACGGCCGACAATGATAGCTGTAGTATGTGGGAAGCTTGGGAAACTAAAGATTTGAAAGAGAGGTTTTCAATAATGGATCCACAAGTGTGAATAATCGATCCAAAATCTTGTTTCACTTTTAAAATCGTTTAGGTTCATTTCGAACCTGAAGCTGGCTTTTCGACAAACAACTGCCGATAATTTGATGACAACTAAGGCACATGAGCTGTTGCTAACTTGATAGTCACATAGAACGAAGCTTGATGTATTTCAAAGTGAATATGGTTTTCGAGAACACCATTTTGGGAGGTATTTCAAATTAAATCTTTTAAAAAATTAAGGGCAAAATGCTAATTTTTCAAAATTCTAACTCCAGCAACTGCAAAAATCAGCGAGGCAATCGCGGCAATGATTGCGTTCTGGTGGACGAGGTTCTACTTGTACAATAGTTTTGGTGCTCAAAATAAGATTTCAACGAAAAAAAACGACAGAAATCCGATTTTTGGGTTTTGCTTAATCAGGGCTTTATCATAACAAATATTAATTCTATTTATTCTACACGACCTGTCATCTCATCTACTGTGTGGCTTCCAGCATTTCTTGAATTCGATTCGTTTCCCTCGCACTCATCGTCCGCAAAGATCCTGTAGCATTTTGCGTTGTTTCGAGTACTACTTGTAGATTACTATCTGCTTTATGAATGTCGTAGAATGGCTGTCTAATTGATTCTCCTTACAGTTTTGGAGACAACTGAGCTAACCCGTTCCTACGTGGATTGGTGTATCGTTGAGGAGGGAGTCGAGCCATCACCTTGCTTCATGATAGACTGCCTCATTAACTACTATTATGCTACAATCTCCTCTTAGAATAAAAAACATGTTCTTATTCGCAGAGATCTGTACATTCTAACAGCTTTTTTGAGCTAACAGGATTCGTTATGCGCTGAGATAACTGTAACTGCTGCTAAACTCCAGTACAATCTAATGAGCTTTATTTTAATTAACAAAGCTCACCATGAGCTGAAAAGTATTTTTTTGAAACTAAAATGGAATTCATTGCAATCATCAGTGTATGCATTCATTGAAACCAATATGTTCCCGAAAGTGTATTGAAGTTGGAATGCCAACTTATTTCAAGTCACATATGAAATAAGAACAATTCCTAACCATCGTTTTCTGTAAAAATGGAGTAGCTGGGTAACCAATCAAACTAGAAGATATGCCAAAATGTTCAATGGGGAAAGAAACTCGCTGTGGAATGCGCCAACATTTTTGCAGCTAATTCTAGAGGGAGCCGGTAGCGTAGCGGCAGTGATGCCATTTGTCACGAGTACGATGCTGGTCGAGACAACGCCTGGTTCAGCAACCCTCTCATCTTTCCGATAGTGTGGAATCAGTGCTATATTTTTCTGCGAAAGGTCCAATCAGCAATCCAAGTAGAAACGCTTTGACACTCTTATTCTAAGACGCGGGAGAAAGACTAGAGCAGCATATAACGGCATTCAGAAAGAAAACGACACTTCTCAAGCAGCAGCCGAGCGCATATGCGAAAAGTACGAAGGCCTTCGTGGATGCAAAAAAAAGAATTGAATTTAGGAAATGTTGGAAAGCCATAGTAGATGTGAAAATAGGTCATGTAAAATAAAAACTATAATGAGTATTAGCGTGATCAACTAGATACTCAGCATGTGCACTGATACAATACCATGAGAAAATACTTATCGTAATAATTTCTTTCATACCATATTTCTACAACGGGTCCATTTAATGTTAAAAATGCTAATACTTGGTATCTTGTAAACTGATACCGGTTGGAAAACTGCCCCAAATCGATCACTGTTTCTGTATATTAGTGGGTTTCAAGAAGGTACAATCGAGTGAAAACGTAAAGATGAACAAACGCATTTCAAAAAATCGAAAAGAAATATGCCTCAAAGATTTTCTAACGCGCTGAAACTCTTCTACTGCTTAACCGAAAACATTTGCCTAACAAGCAGTTGTTACTTTGATTCTCACTATGGAATTCATGCTGGATGTTAGCTTTCCTTACACTGGGACAACATTTGTGTGAATACACGATATTATCCCTAGCTCTCCTTCATCTAAAATAAATCGTTTTGATTTTCCTTCCGCAAAAAGTTGTCATATTCCTCAAAAACCACAAGGCGAAAAGAACGTAGAAAAACCAGTGAACTATGCTCAAGCACCATTTGAATATGGAACCCTTAGTGCTGGTGCGAACTTGCCATTGTTACCACCCTCAAGAACAAATGGCGCCTATCCATCTTGTCTTAGTCAAACAGCTTTTTTCAATTCGTCGCTTTCTGATCACATTAAAACGAAGTCCAATATGAAATGTTCGTTAAATTTATTAATATTAGCTTACTTTGCATCATTACCAGTGTTTCTAAAAAAAATATTTTGATAATTCTCATGTGTTCTGATAAGAGCAACCGTGTTCATGAGCTGTCACAGCTATTGTAAAAACACTGATTCCTTTCACAAATGTCATGTAGAAAATCTAAAGTCACAGTGCAGCAAACCGCCGTCCGATTTGCAACGACCGGCAAAGGCCTGGGGTGAATGAGTACATGAGAAAGCTCTGGGTGGCCATTTTCGGACTTGGGAAAACCATATGCAAGAATCGGTCAACATATCAGTGAGGAATGAAGATGGAAACTCAAGACGCTATCGAACCTACACGCGAAATCAAGCACCTTGTTGGATATATGATGAGGTCAGTACAATAGAATGATTGGAAGAAATGTTGGACCATGTTGCATATTATGTAAGAACGGCTCATTTAGGCATCAAAACAAGTACTACAATTTTAAATCGATAAAACATCCATGGGTGTTACAACCAAGGATTGAGTAATTTCCAATCATGTTGTACTCCAAGTGGAAAACGGGTGTAGCAGAACAAGACTGAATAATTATATCACCATTTTCTACAGAAGGTGGGAAAAAAAGGATAATGTAGGCTAAGATGGTGAAGGAGAAAGGAAGAAAATGAGAAGGATGAAACGAATGATAGCGAATGATAGGCAGAGGATCGCCAGTGATTCTCTTGAGAATAGTAGGAAAAATGTAAAGATTTTTAAAAAATGTCCAAAAAGATTAAATCATTCTAAGGGCGAGAAAATGTCAAATAAAAGACCGCTGTCGTTTTCCGTTCTATCTCTCTTAAAGACAAATCAGACCGAACTTAGTAATAGTATGAGCTTGAAACTTTCACTTCATGCAAGATACGTAGACCGTATGCGGTGAAAATACCCTGAAAACTAATTGTATTCCTCGATTTAGAGGCATATTTCTAGCTGACCGTAGAAATATGTTGGAGAACGATTCAGAAGCATTATCCTTCCACCTTTTATTTCGAAAAATCGATGGAAATAGGTAGCACTAAATTGCCTGTTCTTCAAATTCCAGTCCAGTGAGTCTTAGAGTACATCAAAGAATTTTGCGCTTCTATAATGATTTCTATTACAGTATACAAATACACCGTCTGCGAATACCGTATGAAAACTGCTTTAATATTTGAAAGTAACTTGAGCGCAATCAGCTTTTGCTAGAAAGTAGGCAAATGAAGCAGTGGTACCCATGTTGAATAATTTATTTCTTCATTATACATCACGAACTGAACAGAATAAACAAGGGATTGACGCATTGTAAAATGAAATCACACTCATCGAATTCTCTCCAGTCTTGAGAAAAAACTTTCGGGGCTCGCTGTTCTAGTTTAGCAATACTCAAACCAAAATATCATGAACTTCGTGTAGGTGTACTTCCTTTTCAATTTCTTCAATGGCGATCATAGCGATCGTTTCTTTTTCTCTTCAATCCCGTAATTCGCCAAACATATGTTCTTTTTTTATCCTATTAGGCGAATAAAGACTGAATATGGCAGACATGCTAGGTTCTCGTAAAGATGGTTCTCATTATAAGCCGAAAAAAAAACCACGGAAGTCATTCGGATTCCGGAAAGAAAACCATTTCATTGGCAGTTTTTTTTCTTCTTAAGCAAAGCATTTAACAGAAAAATACGATCCAATCTGAAACAGTGTATACTGGCGAAAGTCATTTTATAACGCTTCGGAGAAAAAAAGAAAAAAAATAGGATGTTAATAGAACTGCTACTCATGCTACTTCAGTCTGCTGTTATCTTTATTTGAACACTTCTATTGTTCAACAATCGAAGATGATTCAAATAAAGGTGAAAGAAAGAATAGAACTGACGGTAATGGGTAATGGCAATCGGACCTGTTGTATCGAGTGGATCCGATTTATAGCGCAGGTGATTAAGAACACGGACAACACTATAAGCACAGCCTTCTAGAATGAAGCACATCTATTCGAATGAGCAACGTCTAAACGA